GGGACATAAAAAGAGACATATGAAGGAAACACATAAAGAGACACATTGGTGAGAGACATGTGGCGAGTCTGCTCCTAGTCCTTGCAGCCATTATCTTATCTTGAACTTTGATTTTGCATTTTCTTTTTCTCTTTTTGTCCCAGCTTTCTGGGACCTGGCTTCATCCTTTCTTGTTATCCCCCACCAGAAGTTGCCTTACACTCATGACAAGATTTTGGGCCAACCCTGTTTGGCCATTTACCCACAAGAGGATGAGTAACTCTGGGTGTTTTATTGGGAAATTTTATTAGAATTTCCTTTCTCCACTCTCTGTATGCACACCAATTCTATTAAAGAGCTTTCACACTAACAGTCTGCTTTCTTTTGTCTTTGCATGTTGTATGGCATAATCCCTTTTAGAGTTTGTACCCCTTAATAGTTTGGGATCTTCTGGGTGCCTGTTGGTCACCTGCTAACACACTCAGATATCAAAGTGACCTCTGGTAAAATCTCTCTTCCTGATACAGGATCCCTTTCTAAATTGTTTTAGTCAGCTAAGGGGGAGGTAAAAGTTTTTTCCTATCTGCTGGGTATTGCTTGCTTTTAGCTCCACATGCCAAAATGGCTTATTTTGGGGTGGTACATTTTGCTACCTTTCTCCACTCCAAAATATGCCTCTTTGGCATAAGAGTTATTTTGAGCTGGTAAGTATTTTGAGACACATTAGGCAAAGGAGAATCTCTGAAAACAAGAGAAATTTCTCTTTCGTAAAGAATATTTACATTTACAAAGGATATCTCCATTTGTTAAATATGATGCCTCTCTGTATCAGAAAGAGGATGACTAAATAATAAGAGAATCTTTCTCCTGGAGAAGGTCTGAGCACATGCAATAGATCTTATCCTCATTTACCTTGCTTTTTCTGATAACTCAGAACTGCCCTGTTCTCCTTTTTCTATCATTTTTTTTTTTCATTTGCCTGTAACTGAAGATAACATTTAAGATAGTGGTTTTCCTAGGAGAATTACTCAGTTTCCCTGAATGTCTCTCATGTATAGATGAAGTATACATGTTAATAATAAATTCCTGTTAGTTTTTTTTTTTTTTCTTGTTAATCTGTCTTTTATTACAGGGGTGTCTCAGTCAACCCAGAAAGGTAGAGGGAAAATTGTTTTTCCTATCCTGCGGGGAAAAAAGATTAAATATTTCTGTGATAAGATTTATAAATTCTATAACTGAGTTGCAGGAAACTAATCAGGTGTCTTTGTGATGTGAGAAGTTGACATTTGTGAAATCATTTGGAAATGAAATTTGAAGAGAGAAATTGCATTACCTGTCTTATTTGAATGGGTCAAAGAACTCTGAACTGGGATAACTTTGGACTGGGCAAAAAACAATTGTTTTAAGAAACTATCAAGCAAACAATTATTTGAGAACTGATGATTATGGACTTTGGAAGATAGAGCAGCCTTTTTTTATTCTTTTGAGGGAATCAGCAACCAATTATGAATAATCAAGAATAAGCTTGCGAATACTCTTTAACCATTTATTTCATCTTCCTCTTTTCCTTCCATAAGAAAACCCCACATTTCTCCCTTATTGGAGCACATTTTAGGTTTCTAACCTGAATCTACTTAGCTTGACTTGCAATCTTTTAACCCTATATAAATACATCTTATCTTTTTAAAATTACCTCCTGAATGTTAGGGTGACAGTAAGTATTCAAACACCTTGTAGGAAGACCTACCTTTTCCCTTATTAATCCAATTCAAGTCAGTCACTATGTTACACACAAAAGGCTTCAATCTCCAATGCCTTAATAAAAGATTTATTGAGTTTCCTTAAATGTCCAAGATTGGTTATCCCCAGTCATGACCTATAACCCTTGAGTCCTTATATTTGCATTTTTGCTAAATTAGAGTCGTTTTACACAGAATAGGAGATGAAACAAATCCTTTGTGCTCTTATTTTTGTTCTAAAGCCAAAATTTAGTTCTGTAATTTTAGTTTTCTTGGTGGAATACTGGTAAATTACTTCTGTAAACATTTTTTTGGGGGAAAAATCAGTGCAAAATAAAAATTTAAGTAAAAATATTTTTCAAGTTTTTTGACAATAAGCACTAATCTTGATCATAACAACTGTTTCTCCTTCAGCAGAAACTGTTCCACAGTGACTAGTTTCCTTAGCTAAAGATCTTCAGATCTTGCCCTTTGGGAATATAGATGGGCTAGTTATTATCAAGTAGATGTGATCAGCTCCCAGGCATGTTAATGTGTTTTGCTTGTTTTTTTTTTTTTTTGTTTTTGTTTTTTTTTTTCACTTATCTTTCTCTCTCTCTCTCTTTTTTTTAAAGATTTATTTATTTATACATACAAGAATTGGGGTAAAGGTCAGAGGTGTGGGGGGTGAGAGGATTCACCAGAGACAGACTGGAGAAGCAGAACAGGCAGACTGACTGAAATACACTGCTGAGGGGAGCAGTGGGCAAGTCAGAAGAGGTCTGCTGTGCCATGTGCGTAGCTCCCTGACTGCCCCCGGGGGATTGAACTCGTCGTGCTGCAGTGGCTGCAGATAGCTTTATAGGTTGTGTCTTAACCCCTTGTGCCACTAGGGAGGTCCTCTCTCTTTTTAAAATATTTTATTGATATATATTTTGCATCATTGTTCATTTTTTTTTGCTTTGTTTTTAATGATATCGGAGTTTTGGGAGTCAGCATTTTGGATTCCCTGCATAGGATTCATGAAGACTTAACTGCTCAGTATAATGACATAGGAGTGCCAACACTGGTCTGTGTTTTGACACTTTCTTACTTTTTATTCCTTGTCTCTTAGGCTCCTTGTTGTTTAATCGAAGTCTCTTTTCACAGAGAACTGAGATTTTACCTACTCACTGTGATCTCTATCATTCTTCATGTCCTTACTCCCCTCACCCCATATGCGCTATCTGTTCTCTCCACCTTTGTTACCCCCATTGCATGTGTCCACCCACACCTAACATCTACTGAAAGATGGGCCTCTCTAAGATGTTCATGTGTCCCAGATATTTGTTACTTTGACATTTGGACTATTTCAAGTTCCATCTTGCTTCACCCCATTGCATATGTCCCACACCGATTCCCCACCTGACATCTGCAGCAGGATGGGCCTGCCCAATATACTCAGAAGAGGTCTCACCAAGATGTGTTGCTTTGACATCTGTATTATTTCAAAGTGAAGTCAATTGAGGCTCTGAAAGCTCACAAGAAACATTTACCGCCCCTTTAACTACCCACAAGAATGAAAAATGAAACCCTCATTTTTACCAGAAAATGACTTTTCTATCCAGAAACTTATTTCTGTGGCAGGACAAGCATCTCATTGCAGAACACTTGGGCTTTGAGTATGAGCTATCCTCTCCCAAAGGAATATCCTTCCTCTCTCTCCTTGAGCCCCAGAGTCCCATCCCATTTCTTGGTTCAGGATAGATACTCTGATTTTCCTCACTGCATAGGAATACACATCTATGCAGATTTCCCCTACATCTACAGCCTGAGAAGACCCCAGAGGGAATTTCTTCTATCTCCTGTAGCCACATTACCCATGAAATATATTAAGCCCCACCCCCATCTTTCTCATTGTGCTATGGCCAATGTTGAGTTTCTACAGAATCTGGTTCACTACAGGTACTCCAGAATGTTACTGTGTTACTATGATCTTTTCTCCTTCCCTTCCTTTTTCTACTTCTCCAGAAGTCTTGGATTTCTAAGAGAGGATATCTGGAGAGGGCAATAGCTAACACAAAATAAAGTTACCCAAAGATAGCACTTCACCCACAGGAAAACCTGGATTTTGGGGTGGGGAAGAGGGCATATTAAAATCTTATGTATTAATATTTGGGAATTTAAAATATAAGGTATTTTTTCTTTCATCTGTGTGTAAAAAATTATGTGTACTTTTATTTTAATTTTGATTTATTATAATGCCAATTCAGGAATTTCAGTTCCCACATGTGAACTTATGGGAGAGTCAGTCTTTCCTCCAATTGCTTCTTGCAAGGGTGGGAACATTTGCATAAGCAGATTTTTATACAGGTAGCATATTTTTCGTTTACCCAACACTTTGCATAGTCATCTTCAGGAAATACTTTTTTAACGATTTATTTTTATTTATGCATACAAGAACTGGGGTACAGATCAGAGGTGTGGAGGGTGAGAGGATTCACCAGAGACACAGTGGGGAACAAAACAGGCAGACTGAAATACACTGCTGAGGGGAGCAGTGGGCAAGTCAGGAGAGGTCTGCTGTGCCATGTGGGTTGCTCCCTGGCCGGCCGGAGGATCGAACTCATGCTGCAGAGGCTGCGGACAACTTCATAGGTTGCATCTTACCCTTTGCGCCACCAGGGAGGCCCCCCAGGAAATATTTTATATGTATTTCCATACAATTTCCTCCCCTTTCAGGCCTCTAGCTTTTCAGCTGAAGAGCCATTCTTCAGGCCTTATAAGAAGTATAAATGGTCCTCTTTGCTCTAAGTAAAAGGAAGTAGTGTAATTACCCACTTCACTCACTCAGCTGCAGGTACAGGATTTCAAAGGCTCTTCTGAAAGGGGCAACCAGAGAACTGTGCAGGGAGGGTTTCTCTGCCCAGATACTAGTATAGTCAGAAGACTCAGCCACTGCAATTTGCTTACCTAATTTCCTTCTCTTGTATTGCCGAAAAGAAGTAAAGATACTAAGTTTATTATCTCAAATAAACCTCTGGAGGAATAGAAGAAAACAACAGGGTAATGCACTATTTATTGTCTCCAGACTTAGCTCCTGATTCCGATCTCTGTGTTCTTGTTTTTGTCTTAACTTTCTTCATTAATTGGGATTTCAATTGCCTGAATTTAGAAGTATATGCTACTGTAGTGGTTTCAAAAAGTTGGGATGTATTTTTCTCTCCCAACAAAGTCTTAAAGCAAGCAATTGATAACTTTGTTTAGAGATACCATCAGGCCTCAAATTCCAATTCTCTTGTTAATGTTTTGTTTCATCTGCAGGATAAGCCTCTCCAAGATGTTCAGAACAGGCCTTTCCAAGACTCGTTACTTAAGCAAGTAGTTCATTTCCAACTGAGGTCAATGAAGGACCTGCAGGCTTGCCAGAAACTTTTACCACCGAGAAGAATAAAAATTGCATATTATCCAGAATTAGGATTCTTACCAGAAGTAAACTTTTTATTAGAGAAATCAATTTATATGGCACAACAAGCATCTAATTACAGAGGATCTGGTTTTCTCATGAGTCACCTGCTTTTTGTCATGTGAGTTCCCCTCCTCTCTTCTTAAAGCCCGCATCCCTTCTACCACATTCTTTAGCTCAGAATACATACCCCTTTATTGGTCACCATTCACTTTAGAATTTTCATGTAAATTCTGCATATATAAGTAATTAAGATTCTTCTTTACTCCCATTAATCTGTCTAATACTAATTTGATTCCTTTACCAGTTGGAGAAGAACCCAGAACAGTACAGGGAAATTTCCTCTTACTCCTACACACCTTTTGTCATTATTCTTTTCCTTATATAGAAAATAGATAATAATATTATCTATAAATACTGGATTGCTGTTGTTGCTTCAAACATTTTATCCACATTCAAGGGAGAAGAAAGGACAGATGGGGATGCACAGGCAATTTTGCTCCTTTGGTCAGGAAAACAAAACCAATTCTAGAAAATCCATTATTTTGTTTATGTGTCACGTAATTGTTCTTCATTGTAAATCAAACTGGCCAGGGGCATGTGTATGTTTGTCTAGTCTTCATGAGAGAAGAAGGCAAGGGAGTGACTCCTCCGCACTATACAGAATTATGATCTGATTTTGTGATCTTAATCCTTGCCAAGACATGTTCTTTTTTCTCTATCCTCTTAAATTAAGTTCTTGAGGGATTGCAACTAAAACTGGCAAAGGACATGTTAGCAAGAGAAAAGAGATTTTGATTCATGTACTTGTATGTGGAAGTTAATCAAAAAATATAACTCAAAAAAGCAGTTGGGATATGGGGCTTCTATACCATCTTATTAGGGAAGGGATGGGAAGGGGGAACTTCTGGGAGATAAAATGATTGTTTAGAAGAAGAACCAAAAAGGTGCTTTGAGAACAAAAAATAAGATTTTTTGAAAAGATAGATAAATAGACCCTTAGTAGAAGAAATGGGATATATGATAGTTTTGTGACAATGTTTGCTTGTCTGGGTGTGGTGCCAACTGACTTTTCATATCACAGGAGATAAGATTAGACTTGCAACCAGGGAGAGGATTTATGACAGTGAGTTCTTGGGCAGGCTGTGCTTTTAGGTAGATGAGGGGTTTCAGAAACTCAAATAGCTTTAGCTCAAAATAATCTGTGAGCCACTGTGGCTAATTCAGAACCCCCTTAGCTTCAATTCTGACTTCAGTTTCTCATTTCAGACCACTCGCAGCACCTTTGCCTAGTGACTCAGCATTCTTAATCCTGAATAGTACTCAGACTCCTTCAAATCCCACAATTTCATATCTTCAGGAGGGACCTGGACCCCTCTTCTCACATATTATGTCATTGGGGTTAAAATAAGTAGCTACTCAGAGGTTAATTAAAAATCTTGCTTTGATGAGGGCTTCAAAAAAAAAAAAAATCAGGGTATCATCATATAAGATGGATTCATTTCAGTGATTTTTACTATTCCCCTAACAAATATTTAATCATTTGTGAACAAAGTACAAGAAAAATAAGTGGTCACTTGTCATGAGGGTGATGAATCTGAATTGCTGCTTGGCCCGGTGCACTGCTGAATCCCGCCTCCTGCCTCTGATGGTGTTTGCCTTTGATTGTTACTTGAGTGTCATCACCATGATCTGAGAGGAAGAGGCTGCTGCTTCCTATTACCTTTGCTTATGGATGCCCAGTTAGAGAAAGAGTCAGTTCTTTTAGGAAAAACCTCCTGACAATTATTTGCTAGTAGTTGTTCAATTTTGTGGTATTTTACTTTTCTCCGATAAGTACACTGAGTGCATTATTAGCCAGCCTTCCCAGCGCTGAGCTATTTAGATGACTTTTTATGGCAAAGTCATTATTACAAAAAACTAGAACACAAATGAAATTTATGCTTCTGTTTCAAGGTGGAGCAAAGTTGATTTCCTTTAAATGTATTATCCGCTACTTATATAAAATTAATCATATCTCAAGGTCACAGATGAAACAGCCTGTGTCCTAGAGTCTGATGTTCTAGAGTCTGGGGTCTTCTAACAGGCCAAACCAATAAGGTCTATATTTTAATTTTATAACTCTTATAAATTCACTGTGGCTGCCAGTTTATGGATCAGCCCCCAAACAATTTGTGAATTAGCTCCCAAATATTTTGTGGCAGGGGAAGCCAGATGGTGATAGTGTACCATTATGGCCTTATTCAATGAGGATTCCTCAAGAGAATTAAGCCCTACCATCTTATGGCATCCACTGAATGTTATGAATTAACTTCTCTCTTATTACTCTAGAATGATACTATGCACTATCCTTGGGAGAATTGGGTCAATAGCTATACACACCATTTTATGCTTTCCGTGGTTCAAATGGGACTCATCTGAGAAAGGCTATCTAGGATTCCATTGCAGCTGAGCCTGTAAGCAACCCTGTCACTTGAGGCTAATTATTAAGTTAGGCTCCCTTACCTAAAAAAATTAATGGATTCTTTCAGATTATTTCTAATATGGTAGGAAATCTGTTCTTTAGAAGGTTGTTGTAGCAAAATTTGGAATCTTAGGGAATAAATCAAATACTGAGCTTAGGCATGTGTCCTTCTTTTGCCATCATGCAAAAAAAAAAAAAAAGGATAGAAATTAAAGAAAAAAGATTTTCTGTGTAACTCCTCTCCTTCTGTGATGTCCTCATCATGGTCTTCACCTTGATACTTACAATGTGCTTTGAAATCATAGATGCTGAGGGCACCAGAGCGTCTGTCAGTTAAATATTCTTTGTTCTTTGCAAGTTGCCAAAGTGAACATTTAAGCTATTTGATGTTGATCAGGTTCAGAGCAAACCCAGTGCCTGCTCGCTCATTTCCATTCCTCACCTGTTTTTCTTCTTAGGTCTTTCTCTCTATGACAATATGAAACTCAGACTCCCTATGGCACCTCCTAATTTGCAAATAGATGCCTGGAGACATAAACAGTGTCAGAAGTGTAGAAATTGCTAATTTTTTTGTCTTTGTAATCAAAGATGTTATACTAAATTCTACACCTGCAATAAAAAGGAAAGAAACAAATAGGAAAAAACATCTGATGACAAAACTGTATTTTTCATCCAATTATCTGCATTTTCCCTCCACTTTTATTTCTCTTATATATTCAGGGTAAGTAGAAATTAATTAATAAAGGGAGTAAGTAGGAATTTGATTGTAAGCAACTCTTCCATTGATTCCTGTGCTATTCTGAATTAGTTCCTATTCTTTGGTAAATGAAGATGCACAATTGGGAGGATCCAGAAGTGACCTCACAACCTGAGCTCCTGCATGGCCAGTAGGGATAAGTCTGACTATGAGACTAAGGTGGTAAATCAATCTCAGGTGGCCACAAAATCTTTCACTCTCCTTCCAGAGATAAACTCTAAGGAATAATTTAGGGGGATGGGAGAGGGAAGCACATAAGGAAATGACTTGAGTGATTTGATGGAGAGTGAATGGAACATGTACTTTTATGGAGCAGTAAAAATGTAACTCCAAAAGTATAATAATAAAATAACATGTCTTCATAGCAAAGATTTTGATGTTCTAGAAACAAAATTTATCAGGAAGCATTGTGTCAGATACAGAAAGTTCTCATTTATCATCATATTCTATACTGCTTCTTTTGCATAGAATTTATTAAAGATTCTGAATCTGTTTCTTTAAAAATGTAGCTCTCTGTCTGTTGCTATTCCTTACACAAAACTTGTCTATTGCTATTCCTTACACAAAAGCACCAAACACAGTGCTCCTCCAGAGGGCAGACGAGAGTATAAACTATCAACCTGGCAATGAAGGGGAGGAAGAGCCCAGTGCTAAAAGAGTTATTCTTGCTTTGATTGAACTCTTAGGAACAGACACAAAGACTAATTGCTTTGATGATAATAACCTCTATCTTATAAACAGTGAGTATATTGTAAAAAGGTCATCACATCAATCTGTCAAACTGCACATTTTCTCTATGAGTCAACAATATACAAAGAACTAGGCTTAATATCATGGTGAATGCAAAGAGGCATCAGGCAAAGATCCAACTTTTAAGAAACTGATGTTTTGGAGGAGAATCAATAACTAGCAAAACAATGCATATATGCAAATTCTAAGCAAATATTCCACAGGACAATACTAATTCTCATATTTATTATGTGTAAAATAAAAATAATTTGAAGAAATTCATTGCAGTCCAAGTTTGGAGTCAGAATGGGTTCCAGTCCCATTCCCATCATTTGTTAGCTGTGTGACTCTGGCATTTAATCTGTGTGTGATATTTCCCTTATTTGAAATGGGGCTCTGAGCAGCATCTTCCTTATTGTTAAGACACATCAAATTGTACTAGTCAGGTTCTGCTGAAATAATGTTGCATAACAACTCTAAATCCAATGGCTTATAGAAACCTTTTTTTTGGTGTATGTTCTGTGGGTGGGCTGTGTTTCAACCTGGGTAATTTAAAGTGGGCTCTGGTCCACGCGTCTCTCATTCTGGATCCAGGCTGAAGGAGCAGGCATTACTAGGGTCTGGTCATCCCACATGAATGATGAGACTACAAAAGGGCCAAAGGAAATATGTAATGTCTTTTGAATTCCCCATTCAGAACTGGGACATATTACATTGGACAAAGCAAGGCACATGGCCAAACTCAAAGTCAATAGATAGAGAATTATATACCATCCCCTGGGCACCAATGGAAATACTGGAGAAGGAATGAATAAATAAGATGCTCTGTCGCAGAACATAGAATGTGCTACACACACGAGCACATGCCCCTTCAAGTTTTTCCTATCTTTGCAATTACAAGGACTCTGTCCTTCATCATTTAGTCCTTCACCAATCTGTTTGCACAGTTTCAAATACCAGTTATAAAACTATTGTAAGAAGGGTGTGAACCCCTATAAAAACTCTTATTGGGGACCTCCCTAGTGGTGCAAGGGGTTAAGCACAGCACTGTGAAGCTATCTGCAGCCTCCCAGGCCAGCCAGGGAGCTACTCACATGACACATCAGACCTCTCCTGCCTCGCCCGCTGCTCCCTTCAGCAGTATATTTCAGTAGAGCTACCTGTTCTACTTCCTACTCTGTCTCTGGTGAATCCTCTCATCCCCACACCTCTGGCCTGTACCCCAGTTCTTGTATGCATAAATA